TGATTCCGCCCTAAAGTAGAACGAGTCACCGATACCCTCCCTACCATCTCTACCTCCCCCCCCCCACTAACGAACGCCTGACACACGGCGACGAATACGATTAGAGACGCGAACAGAAGCAGCGGGGTTTGGCGTGGAGTCGACGGACCAACAGCTACTATTAGTCTCGTTTCTGACTCGTCGTCGTCGACTGCCGCTATTAGCAGTGCGAGCGTAGTTGGTAGCCGCACGAGGGGGGAGGATTGTCACGGGGGGGGGGAGGATTCTCACGGAGGGGGGAGGAGATTGTCACGGGGGGGGAGATTGACACGAGGGAGTGATTGTCACGAGGGAGTGATTGTCACGGGAAGAAGATTGTCACGAGGGGGCTGATTGTCACGAGGGGGGGGGGGTAATTGTCACGGGGGGGTGATTTTCACGAGGGAGGGGGTGATTGTCATAATCTAGTGCACAATTGCTTGAGGAATGCGCAGCCAACAGCGGAATTCGCCGCCGGACGCCGTTTCGCAGACAAATTGCAACCTAAGGGTGCCGCATTCTTACAGACAAAACATTACGGAGAGATCGACCGACGACGGTGATGCTAGCGTGTCCAAGTGCCTGTTATCACTCATAGCTCTCAGTGTGCACGTAGTCTGAGCTATATGCAGTACACTGTACGTGTACTATATTCACTCCCACACACACACACACCTTCTTCACGTCCTAACTGGTAGCTTTCTACATGCCTTAGTTCGTAAGTCCTGCCTCCCTCCCCCTTCTCTCTCCACGTTCCTCTCTTTCTTACATGGGGGTGCCTCCCTCCCTCCCTCCCTCCTACCTCCTTCTTTTCTTTCCTCCCATCTCTCCCTCTCTTCCTCCTCTTTCCTCCTCCCTCTCTCATCTGGGGGTGGCAGTGAGTCAGCGGTGACCTCCACATCGTTGGCACAGCAGTAGTCGTAGTCCTTGTTGAGGTCGTTGTTGTTGTTGTTTGCGGCGGCGGCGGCGGCGGCGGCTGCAAGGCTCAGCTCGGGGCTGGACGTGCCGACGGAAGAGCTGCCACTTGTTCCGTCGCCGCCGTTGTGCGGCTGCGTCTGCTCCTCGAAGCTCGCCTCGATCTGCGTGGCGAGGTCAAGGTCAGGATCAAGGGCGATAAAGGTTGCGTGCGCGATGAAACAGACTAAATTAGCCGGAAATGCCCGGAATGGATACCAACTGATGACAAGGTCAAGGTCAAGGTCAGGGTC